TGCTGACCCTTGGGGTCCATTTTATTTTGGTATACCTTTTCTAGGTACGTTAGCCTGTGACCACGGAAATTGGCCGAGTCAAGTGATGGATTAGTACGGAGAGATTGAGACAGAAGGAGGTACTGGATAGAGAGACCGGGATGGTTTTTAATGTGATGACAACAACAACAACAAACAACCCCCCCCTAAATTCAAGATGTTAGCGTCGGACCTTCGCCTGGCCCACTCAAGAACTCCGATCGATGTTCTCCTCTTCGCTCACCGGGAACGAAAGCCCTTCTATCGTGACCTCCCTGCCGCCAGCCTCGACGGTCGCACGCGTCGAGTGTACACCACCGCGAAGTTCGCTCTACGCGGGCACCCATCGCCAGCATCCCGTAATGTTCCTGGTCTTCCCTTGAAATCATCCAAATCTGTGCCGTCTCCTCCAACCCATGGTCACACAGATGGTTACCCTCTTTGAGGACTGTGCGTGATGTAGATTTATGAAAGAAATGAGCGTCTGAATTTATTTGACGGCTTCCGGCCGTGAACGTCCCGTTGCAGTACATGAGTCATGTAATGTATTCTATGCGGGTAAAAACAAGGCGGCCCTACTTTGCAAAACGCAAGAGAAGATAGCGCATACGCACCTGCCGTCTCTCACTGACCCGCACGGCATTTCATCCATACTTTTTTCATTTCTCACAATGCCCACTACAATGCGTGTCCTCATGCGCTACGTGCATCAACAGCGCAGCTGTGGTCTGTATGTTGTGCACTCATGTGCACGCGCATCTCACGGCGACCACCCATCATCCACGAGAATGTTCAACCCTTCGTAGGGACTTTGATGGTCCATCCACGAACATAAACGAATGTTCCGGCAACATTACATGGTTGATTGGATGTTCATCGACTTCAACTTTTGTTTGTCTCTTCATATTCATCCACAAACACAACCATTATTTAACGGAACTCGACTGCCTCCGGAGGGTTCTTTTTTTTTGTCTTTGCTGCATGGACGATTGATTCATTCTGTTGACCGTCCACGAACATTGAACAATTTACTAGACCATGGCCGAGGAAAGCTGGGGCAACCAGTGTCGGCAAGCAGTTGCACTTCAAGAGTACAACTTAAACTTCGAAAGCTGAAGTATGTGTCTGCCGTTTTGTCGTCGTGAACGCACACAGCACTCCATGGTGGACTTCTTTCTCACACTGTGTTCGCCCCCTGCATACATGTGTATGCCCTACATCAGCAGTCGTATGTTGTGTGTACACCCACCACCGCATCATCTCAAGGCGACTCTTGAGCAGCAGTTGATGTTAGGCTCTTGAACTAAGGGTGCACAAAAAAAGTTATTCCGCACAACTAGGTACCCCCCCCCCGGGACGGCCCAATTTTATGCACAAAAACACTTCTTTTTTTTCGTGTCTGTCCTATTCATCGTGCATGCACGTCAAACCTGTTTAAAGTGTAATACACAAGGTGGCTCTACAATGCGCATTACATGCCTGCGCTGAGAACGTGTTGTTGCTAGAGAAACCACACAATTTTACACATTCATCCATCCTCGTCGATTCTCAGTGAAATAAAAAAGCATCACGTATGTCTACGCGCGTGAACGAAGAAACCCAGTGAGTACTTGACGGAAACCAACCGCGGGTATCTACGAAGCATGTGATGTAGGAGCTCGCAATTTTGCTGACTGAGAGAGTTCCGTTCGCTTACCGGTATGCCTACCATTTCCCGACATTCTCGCGCCCAAAACTGCTGTCCGCAAACACCGAAAACCGCCGTAAGTTTCGGGGTGCGTTTACATCCATCCCCTCGAGCTTCCGTCCGGCCCCTCCTCGTCCTCCTCCTCGTCTTATCCCCTCTAGTCCTATTTACCCCTGCCCCCCTCCCAATTCCTCACTGCCTTCTCCCCCTGTTCGCTAGACTCAGCGTCCTTTTCTGCTGCGCGCCGAGAACATTTTTATCTTGTGTCATTGTTGCGCCGCGCGCGCCTGGGCTACATAGGCCTACGCCCCCGCCTGAGGGTGTGCTGATCATGCTTAATAGACTGCCTCTCGTCGTCTAGGTGTGGTACGCAGTACAGCGGGCAGGCGCGGCGAGCGCACACGATCGTACACACACTGCTAGGAGGCACGCAGATTCATAATAACCCCATTTATTTATACGGTGCCTTTTATATCTAGGAAACTATGGTATGGAATCCTTGATTCCTTTAGTAGAATTTTCATTGGGTTTGGGAAAGGGGGGCGATGTACTCTTCGTACCCTCCCCCCCCCAAACAAAATCTCGCTACAAACGAAATGTACACACAATGTGGAAGATCACCGGCTGGTGCCACCATTCCGTGGCATGCAGCTCACCGCAAAACATACTTCTGTCTGCGCATGAGCTATTTTGACCTCTCCTGAGGATGGGGGGGGCCTTCGTACTTGGAGTAACTGCAACTTTTAGATGTTAGGTTCACAACACCGAAAGGTAATAACCGTCTCCGAACACACTGTTGTAGATGAAACGGAAAAAAAACGCACGAACACAAACAGGCAGTTCTTGTTTTTCTATCCCGTTACAAGACTGACATGTTTTCATTGAGACAAGTCGCGCCTTTTGCAGCATTTTCTGTATTCAGCCGCACTGAGACTGCGGTCTTTTCATTGGTAGGCTGGTTAGCACGGTGGATGCTTATAATAGCGACACACGCACCTCACTGAGACTAACGTATTTTCCGTTGGTGATACTGCTGTTTAGCAAAAACTCACGCATACGCCGCCAGCGAACGCTACTCCAAGCACGTGGGTGTAGAGCGTGTTCTATTTGATGTTCATTTTCTCCTGTTTGTTCGAACGATCGACTGCCTGGACATGCTCCTAATTTTCACGCATGCATAATATACTCCCTTTCCTTCCCGAATAGAAAGATCAAACTCCGCCGGGCATCTGCTGTATGCATGGCACAAAACGATTCGTATGCGCACAGCCTGCCCTGTGGCACAACATACGTAAATAGTGCTTTGCCTCTGACTGCTGTGCTCATGCTCATAGCTGAGTTCGACTTGGTATTTCGTGACGGCGAACGATGCTACTGATGCCACTGTTTCTCTGTTGGCTGTACTATTAACAGGCTACCGATGACATGGAGCTTCGGTTGAGCCTGCTGCGAAGAAGAGGAGAGCTCGTGGCACACTTCGCCAGTTGCTGTGCGTCCATTCTGAAGAATATTGACTTGGCGTAAAGTAGTGGACATATCTACCACCCTCATTTGCCAGAATATCCTCGCACCGCCCCATTGCTTTCGTGTGTTGGTGATGGTATTGTAGGTGAAATACATGTGCTTGTGTGTTTGCGGTGGTTTCACAATTGTGCTTTCGGTACACACTGAAGTCTGTTGAGGAAAGGGCCGAAGAAGACATGATTCATAGAGTCATGCAAGACACAATGCACTACGTGTCCGACAAATAGTACCCAAACATCGTGGTCGCAACAGTTCATTGCAAATGGTTGAGGTTACCTCACCGCAAGAAGAGACGTCTCGTATACTTTTTCGCCTTTTGACGGCTGACCACCACCCTGCTCCCTCTTGCGTGCTTGACACCTTTTCCCTCAGGGCTGGAGTCTGACATGCGCAAGGGCATTTTCCTTGCGGATCCGCGCGACGTGGACTCCATGCTGGAGGCCGCGCATAGAGTACATGGTCGCCAAATGCCCCCCTGCGGCTGGTGAGAAGTGGATGTAGCATTGTAGCTCCGCCGCACGAAAATACTTGTTTGGAACTCTGGGTAGATCGGCATGATCCCTCCCCCTCCCTGCGGCTGTCAATGGGCTGACTGCACAGAGTGTTGAAAGGGATACGGAAACGCAGCAGCCGTCCCCGCCTTTACCCGGGCAAGATCGGTGCAACTGTAAAGGCACATCCCACCTCCGTAAAGGCGTGCTCGCCCTCGCCCCCTTTTCTGACATGGTGGGGGGGGGGCACTGCTATGGTATCGCGCTCTCTTTTGTACGTGAACAGGGAATGTCTGGGCCGCTTCTCCGAGATGGCGGTGAGAGAGCACTTTTTAGAACAGATGCGGACGTATATGATCGGCGGGAACACATCGGCCTCGCCACCGGACTCGCCGCACCCCATGGGGCAGCAGCACGGCTTAGACGACGCGACAGGCTCTCTCGGCGGTGGTGACAGGGTGCGGCAGCAGCAACACTACCAGCAGTTGCAGCACCACCAGGCAAGTGAAGCGTGACTGTTTTTGTCGATAGCATCGAACGCGCTAACCGGCTGACCAATGAAAAGCCGCCAGTATCATCAGCGCGGTTGAAAACATATAATGTTTCTATAGGCCATGATCTGAGAAGCCGTTGTGTGTGCGTGTGTGTGTGTGCGTGTTCATTTTTAGGGTCGACCACGCTAGCCGACGGACCAAACAAAAGTCATCGTCAGTCGCAGTGCCCTGCTAATCCGAAAACGCTTCTGAAGTGTTCGAAGTGTGTTGGTGAATCTTCACGTAACATGGACAGTGTTTGAGGGTGTTATCATCCCACGTTCTCCGGGCGTCAGTTGTAGGCCTTCGGCCCGTTTGGATGCTCCAACCAGAGTCATGAGAAACTGCTACATGGGTACTACGATGAAGCACACGCCCGAATGCCGGTGGTGTCTCGGTTACCGCGGTCGCGCTGCAGTGAAAAACTGTTCCATTGACCTAGCAGTTTTTCGACAAAAAATACTCCAAATGTTGTTGGTGTCTCCTTCAGGAACCGGTGCGGTGATCCGCCGCCGCAGAAGCGACGCGTGCCCAATGGCCATATGACTAAGGCGAGCAAAGCTAAGATATGCCCCCCCCCCAAAAAAAATAGTCAATGGTCTAGCCGTTGAGGCATGCAAAACATAAGGATACGCCCCCCCCCTACACCCCTCTTCCTCAATTTTTGACATTCGGTGGAATGAAGGCATTCCATGGCGGTGCTGCTGCTCAGGCTTCGTGGCAACTGCAGCAGCAGCAGCACCAGCACCAGCAGCACCAGCAGTACCACAGCTCTAGCCTGTACGGCCGAGGAGGGGGAGGGAGCGCAGAACAGGCGTACCCATCCCAGTATTGGGGAAGCGGGTCGGGGGCGGCAGGCGCGGCAACGAGCGGGGTCGGCCCGAGCGGCGGCAGCGTGGGCGGGGTGCTCAGCTCGGCCGACTACGGGCGCGTCCGTTCGCCAGCCGACGGCTCCGACTTTCCCCTGGGAGGGGGCCAGGCGGCCCGGTCTCTCGGCTACCCGTTCGTGTTCTACCCGGGCGACCAGCCCTCCAGTGCTGCTGCCGCGGCCGCTGTCTCCGCTACTAGCGGCGGGGGCCACGGGCTCCACCCCGCGGCGGCGGCGGCCGCAGGGGCGACGTCGCCCCCTATGCGAGGCCCGATGTTCCCGCCTCCTCCCGGAAGCAGCAGCAGCGGCAGCAGCGGCTACTACCACGACACGAGGGTCCCGGGGGGGGCGGCAATGCGCGGCAGCAGCAGCAGCAGCAGCGTCAGGAACAGGGAAGGGCAGGTGGGTGCCATCGGGTGGGGGAACGGGGTGGGAGCGGGAGACGCCATGAAGGCCATGAATGCACACGGCGGCGGTGGCGAAGGAAAAGGCGGGGGGGCCCTGGAAGCTTGGCGACCCCCAGAAAGGTGGGGAGGGGGTGGAGACATGGCGAACCCGTCAGGGCGCGCCGCCGCCGCCGCCGCCGCCGCCGGTAGCGCGCTCCCGTCCATCTTCGAGTTGAGGCAACAAGAGGGCCTGGAGCAGGGTTCCAAAAATTTTATGACTGGGATGGCTGTAGGGTCCGGGCCAGGGAGTGGCGGCGGCGCCGCGGCATGGGGGGGGGTAGGAGCGGGGGGAGGGGTTCAGCAGAACCAGTCGGTGGCGGGAAGAGGGCATAGCCACCGTTGGGAGGGTGGCGCGGCGGCGGCGGCAGGGCAGCTGCGGCAGCAGCAACAGCACCAGGCGCTGGGGACACACATGATTCCTAACGCGCGGTGGCAAGAGGCGGGGATTGGCGGAGGGGAATTTGGGTCGGGGGCTGGGATATCCCGGGGAGAAAATTTTGACCATCCTCACGGCGGGAGCTCCGCTGCGCGTGGTAGTGCAGGTCAGCACGGCCCTGGGGGTGGTGGTCGATAACGCGAGAGGCGTCATAAGTTTGTATGTCCTCGCGTTTCTGCGCCCGGCGGTTGTAGCCACGCGCGTGGACGAAGCGAAATGGGGTACGCCTCATCTCCGACCGCGGTCGCGGTGGAGAAGCAGCATGAGTCGCACCAGGTGGTGCCCTTTAAACAGGCAGGTTTGTTCTACACGTATGCTAAGGGGGGGGGGGGGGGGGGGGGGNCGCTTACTGTTCGACCGGCGGTGGGTTTGTACGTTTGACGTGAGGTCGATCGGGGGGGGCAGGACAGCACGCTTGCTCGTTTGTTCTTGTACCTTACTGTCTAGTTGGCGTCTTTTTAAATAGATTGTACTGTGCTCCAGCTATAGTTGATGAATATGGAGTCTTGTAGCCCAGAAAAAAAAACTTCGGACTCATGAGACGAGTGCGTGGCGGGGGGCGTGTTGTGGTCGTTGTCAGACCGAGGGTGCATCGGTGAAAGAGAAAGAAGAGAACGAGAGAAAGGGGAGGGTATTCCCCTACTAGACCCATATACAAGGAGCGATGGTGGGTGCCATGCCGATATGACCTTAGACACACCAATGCTTGTCCTACACCGAGGGTCAGCTTAGCCCAGTTGTTCCGCACTAGTCTACATTGGATACATGTCCCTGTGAGGCAGTGTTTAAATCGCGGGGGCCATTGAGAATGCTACTTCGGCCCTTTTTTTTCTCCAGCTCTGTGTGTCGAGAGGTTTCAGCGGTGGTGGTGGTTGCTGTGTGTCCCAGTTTTGTCAGTTTCAGTCCCTTTCTTGGTGCGTGTGTAATTCCAGGAAGGGCGCGCGCAGAGCTCTGCCCCCCTTTTGCTCTTTTCAGCAATTACGAGAACAACCGCGTGCCACGTGCGGGCGAAGCATTCCGGACGGCCATGATGATTTTGTCGAGGCCTGAATGGGTGCCTAGAGGTTCCAAATTGTTTCAGTGACCCAACCAAGGATGCTGTGCAGGCTGCTGTGTTGGGGGATTCGATGCATTTTACGTGACTTCGTGCGGAGATGTCTCGTGTGAAATTTCCTTGCTTTTTTGTGTTGTGCCCGTGACGATACGTACGGTACGTTTTTTGCGGTTACTTGGCGTGCGCTGTAAGACGGTTGGATGCACCCCATCTGAGAGGCACTTGGTTGCTTGAGGGCTTCTCTCTTGCAGACATTCATCGCACAGCAGTACAATTGGTAGGCTATTCGGGCCAGCCACAAACCTTTGGTCGCGAACAAGGTGCCTTAGTAGGAATGAGCCGGTAGGAACGAGCCGTCTTTGTATGTGCTTTTTTATGTGGTCGGCCAACAATGAGTGGCACTCGGGAATGTTTTTTCTGTGAAGGACTGAATACTATTTCACTACTACTATCGCGAAGCGTGAGCGTGCGCGAGCTATGCATCGTCGTGGCGACCTGCGTAGGCGGTTTACAGCGTGGGGCGAGGCGGGGCGAGAGCCTTCTCTCGTTCGAGGCACGGGCGGGTCTGGTCGCGCGTACCACATTGGAAGAGTTGAACCTCATTTTTACCCAACAGGAGTCCAATGGGCGTAGAATTGGCTGAGAGGGGGCAGGGGGGTGCCAGTTCGGAGTAGTGGATGCCCCGGGTCCTCTCCCGGTGAGAATCAGGACGATAAAGTACATCATCCGGGACTTGGTCGATTTTTTCTTGGCTTGATACCAAGCGGCTACATTACCACGCCGTTGTGGTGGGGAGATGTTCGTCGATCAAAGACATTACCCCCTCTTCTTCGTCAGAAGGGGGGGAAGTATTTATGTATGACGGCAGGGCACAACCCATCACGAAAACTCTGGCGACGAGGTGAACGTGGAAGAGGGCTGCGGGTGTGGTGCTTGTGTGTGTCGATTTAGTGATGTAGAGTTGACGGAACATACATGTAGAAGTCTATGCAGATCCAGTTCGTGCTTTGTAAATCTGTTGTAGGTGTTCACTTGGTGTGTACAGCACTTGCTTTATGGCCCCACCCAGCGTGCTCATATATTCTACCACTAGTGTAGAAAATATGAGAGAGGTGATACGCTATTGTAGTGTTCAGGCATGTCGCGATGCCGTCGAACTTGGAGGTTTTTTGTGATTTGTGTTTGTGCGCAGGGGTGTGGGTTGGGAGGGCGGGGGGGGCGGGCGGGGCGGGGCGGCGACTGCTCTTTAGTACCGCCGACCGAAGGTAGTATTGTGGTGCCAACTGGGAAGGGGACCCTACTGCATCTGTCTGTTGTGGTGCACATGAAGGCACACTGCTGTATTGTTGACACTGCTGCTGCTGCTGCTACTGCTGATGTTCTCGACGTTGTTTCTGTTGCTGTTGCTGCCGTTCAGATCAGGTGGCTTGTTTGGTCTCGGAAAAGAACATCCCCCATGGCGATGAATGTTTTACCTACATAGTCGCAGTTGTTAGGTGCCTCATGCGAACACACGTGCACCATTTCGGTTATCAGCTGGTCTGCCTTTCGAAAGGAACCGGGAACGTCGCGTCGTGCTCTGTACACACGGCCCTTCTTCTCTCCCATCCCAGCCCACTTTCTTCATCCACTGCTGATGCTGTGTTTACCTTCAATCAATGCGTCGTCGTTGCAAAGTGCACGCATCCACTCGGTAACGTGGTAACGCGTTTCGTGGATGCATCAAAGCCGAAGGCAGGGGGGGAGGTGGCAAGGTGATACCGTGTCGGAGTCACTATTGGCAATAAACAGAAAAGACGCGGTGGGCGAGAAAGTTGTGTTTCTTTTCACGAGTACTGATGACGCGGATCGAAGTGCTGGTCTGCGCATTTATTTGCATGAAATAATGCACTTCAGCAAGCAGCTGATGCCTTCCAGGCGTCGCCCAATACCATGCACTTGTTTGCAAACATTTTCCGCAGTGCTGTTGGGCCCTCCAACCCTTTCGATGCTGTGGCATCCATCCCCCGTAATTTCTTTGTCTTCGTAGAATACACACACGAATGAATGCTTTTTAGTGGTGGTGGTGCTGCTGCTATGCTCGGTGGCTACAACGCAACTACGTTTCCTATCTGCGGGCCCGTACATTTTTTTTTTTCTCCCATCATTGGGCTTTATCGTCTGCCCCTCTGACCCCTATCCTCCATTTCAACTAGGTGCTAGACGACCCAACCGGGGTCACATAGGAGGGAGGAGCTGGACCCCGTGCTGTATCGCTCTCTGTTTTTTCCGATTGTCTTCTACTTAGGCTCGAACTCCGACGCCACGACGACATCCGTTGGCAACACGACCGCGCCGTTGCGAGTGCTACAGACGTAGTCTATGCCTACGAACATACGCACCGTTTGTTTCTGTTTTTCTCTAGATTTGACGCATGCCAGCAACCCGCCCAAGCATGTTGGATCGGACGTGAGAGAGATAAAAAACAGAATGTAGTATCTTCATTAGTCAGTCGGTTAGCGCGGTCGATGCTAACAATAGAGACACACACAGCACACACACAGACAAAACTCCACACAGTGAACAGAAAAGGTGGAACGTCGCGAACTCTTCAACCAAAAGAGGAAAGATTCCGAAGCATTTATTATCGTTATCAAGGGTTTCGTCTCGGGAGGCAAACAGGGTGCTCGAGGTATGGTGTGGCTTGACACCATGACAGAAGACAGGATCTCCGCCGCATTCATCGCTTGTCTCCGCCCGGTACCGGCGGGCAGCCATACGCACCCCCTCTTGTGACCCTCAGGGGCAACAGTGGACGAACGCAGACAGGACGGCAACACACAAGCTCAAAACTGCCGCTGCCACGGGGAAATGCAGGGATATCCAATGTCACGGGCAAAAACATCAACAATCAACATGTGACGGGCAACCGACTACTACGTGCATGTCAACTAGTGCAAAGCGCTTCAACACCTTGTTTGTCCCAAAACACAACAGTGGCGCCGCGCGAACACGTGTAAGAAACCTTGCAAACAATTTACCACAAACGAGACACAACCCGAACGCCTTTGGCTGTGACTGAATCAGTGTGACCTAAACTCGTCGTGGACACTAAATATCTACCCACCGGTATCTACTCGCTTCCTTTTTCACTGGGAGGCAGCTGAAATTGTGAAGGTATTTGTCACGTTGACGAATGAAAGAAAAATGACATATATTGATAGACGTACATCGCCCGTTTCGTGGTTGCCTTCAACCAACGGGAACGATAGAAATGAACCAACGGGGAGGGCGAGGTTGCTCTTCCCTCTCGCCCGTCGACAAAAGCAACCATTTGTATTCGAACCCACCCGTGCACACCAAAACATTTAAATAAAGCAATCAATACCCTAGAGAGACAAAGATAAACCATCAAGAGCGATCGTTTGGACGAGTACCTCAACAAAGCAAGCACAAACCAGACGGAGAGATCACGTCACGAAAATCGAGCAACAGGGTCCCTAACCTAACCCCCGCCCCCCTCCTCCCGCGTACAACACACCAAATCTACAATTACCCCTTCCGGGTGAGGAAAATATATTGATCAATCGATCAGATTGGTTGCCTTCTTGGCCGCGCGAGCTGCCCTTTTCTTCTCCAAGATGTTGTACATCGGGGCTCGTGGGGCACCCTGCTTAAAAGAAGGTTGGCGGCTGCTTGACGTGGTTCGTGCCTCGGCTCCCGTGTTCCAGGCTTCGTTGAAGTCGAAACCGTCGGTCTCGCAGTGGGTCCACTTGAAGGTGTCGTACACGTACGAAACCGAGTTGGAACGGGCATCGAAGGCCTGGAGGAGCTCTCGGTTGGTGAGGGTATTTCCGTTCTCCATGCCCTTGATGCCGGTCTTCACCTAAGAAGAAATATGTCACGAAAACAATAAAAAGGCATCAAAAAAATATGTAAATCACCGCCGCCAGGCAGAGTTGCGTCAGCGGACAGGTGCACTTTAGGTTCGGGAGCTGACGCTTACAGGCTTACCTCTGGGACACTCGACTTCATCGAAACAAGTTGGCAGAGTCGCCCAGAACAGCGTCATGTTTGTCGCCGAGACAAACGCGACCACCACAGAGCGTGCGGGGTAGGTTCGGCATGAGAAAAAAACAAGCGACGCTACAACGTGTAGGACATCCAAGGGACGCCGGGGCTTCGAACCTACCCTGAACGACGCCAACAAGACGGAAAATATGGTGAAGGTAATGCGGGCCTCCGGAGTGGGCTGGCTCGTCAGAGCATACTCGTAGTTGCATCGAGGCGCGATGAAAGCAATGCATTGTTGGTGTGACCGCCATCTGTGACGTTTCCCATGCTCGACCAGCTCGCACAGCTGACGTGTTGTGAGCCCAGCGAACATCAACCAACACAAAAAAGAAACATTTACGTATCTGTATTATATTATACTTCGAAGTATTAAGTCTTACTACAAGAAGTGTACATGAATATTTCGCTTCATCTTACCTCGAAGCCGTCCGTGTCGGAGTCCAGGAGGCCGAAGGGGAACACGTCGCTGCCGCGGTGTCCCAAGCAGGTCTCGCCGTAGAGGCTGATCGACTCAACCTCGACAGTGCCGTCGGGCTTGGTGACGGTGATGTCGTCGTCCGGCCAGGTGAAGTCCGTGATTTGCCTCGTCAGCACGGAGTACATCCACAGCCGCTCCATGGTTGGGTGCGTCGGCCAGAATGACGGGTCCAGGGACGAGCTTGCCTGTATGCGGGCGGCGGGACGAGGAGAGCAAGGACCAACCACAACGCGCTCAACAGTGTGCCGCCTGAGACAAGAAGTGCGCTTCGGAGGAGCTGGCGTCGAACGACTCCCATCAGGGACGTACAATAAAGAAAGGCCACACATCGGACGGAGCAGAAGCGCTAGCCAGAAACAATATGGGAACAGAAAACACCCCGGCTCTTGGACGCGTCACCACCAGCTCTGGACTGCGTTGGCGTACGGAGGGCTTACGAACAGCACAATCCAGCGCTGCACGCACCGGAGAGAGTTATCAACGCACCTGCAAGTGATCCCCGTCGTTCATAGGAGTCGTGCAAAGCGCCGCCACGACCTGGCGCTTCACGTCCGCGTCGAAATTACCAATGAGTTCATCGAGGTCCACCATCTTGTAGTAGATTGACTCGTAGTCATCCCCTTGGGTGAGATCGTACCCCTGGCAGCCGCACTGGCCGCTGGATAGCACCTGCCGGCCGTCGCATGTGTCGTACGCAAAAAACCAAACGAGAGAAAGAGCTGTTGCCGTGGACTCAGGTATCCTGTGTTGTACATGCCACACATCGCGAGGAACCCTGCGCACATAGCCTCTTAGAGACCCCGGGCCCGCATGCCACAGGGGGGCCAAGTAGCGGCAACGGAGCCGCTTGGAGTTGGTATCCATAGGTTTGACGAGAAAAAAATCGTTAATTAGAGCAGTTATTCGCTCGTGGTTCACGGCGAACACCAACGTAAACCCGGTGCACAGAGCTGCCGTGGAACGACGGCGAAGACGTGTAAACCTTGACGTCACTGGCATCACAAAAGCAGCCATCTGCCGCCCATCCGTTCCACAACAAGCGAAAACAGAACTGAGTGGCTACCGTTCAGGTGCGATTTGGCCATCTGTAGACAAGTCGCAAACTCAATCTAGAGCCTTTTTTGTATCAATCCGTTGCTAGGCTATCACGGACTCTTAATCTGTGCAAGAGATAAATTTGGTGAAGTTTGGAACAAAAAATAAAATTACTTCGAAGTACTTAATAAGCGCGAGACAAGAGGGTAGGTCTAGATCTCCGGATAGTAAAAGTCCAACAACGGGGCCTGTCTCCTCTCGAGGATTTTACAACAAGAGGCGGCGGCATCTAACTCACTTCCGCCGGCGCCTGTGCCACCGAGGCACTTCCAACGCACGAGAAAATTCCGTCTCGGAACAGGTTCTTTCGGTGGATAAACGAGTACAGCGCCAGGTCTTCGGCGATGGACGGACCCACGAGTTCGGCAATGGCGCCGAATGTCTCCTCGCAGTCCAACACGCCCCCGATCCAGATGTGCACCGGTCCGTGGGGGTTGTACAGGGAGTACCAAACCCACGAGTAGAAGTCGCTGTAGCCGGTGACAAGGTCGTAGTGCATCTCGCACGTCGGCCAAGGGTACCACTCGTCCACCTCGGCGTCGCACATCTTGCCCATGCCGCGGGTCAGGTATCTGCCGATAGTAGGTGGCGTGTGGGATAGAGGCGGTCAGGTACACTCAAATTTAAACAAGCTCTCAGTAGGTACCCGGGCAACAAGCAGACAGCTTGCTGTGGGTAAAAGGCGAGAGTGGAAACAGCTGCACGGGAAAGGCACAAGACTACTCATCATGAGATCGTCGTGAGTCGAAACAGGAGCACGGGTCTCCATTCACCGAAGAAACAAGGGTGGGGCTGCTGCCGTTGGGGCGACGACTCACGGCCGATCGTTGACGTTCCACGGAGCACGGAGCTTGCTGTACACGTCTGGCTCTACGGCGCCAGGGTCGTTGACCTTCATCTTTGGGATCTCGGTGTAGGCCCACCGACCATCCTTCACCTGATGAAGAAACGAAACCACGACAATTTTTAACAAGAAAAGGACCAACACGGGTCAAGGGACAAGACGTCAGCACGATCGTCAAAAACGGACGAGGGGGTTTGGTCGGGGGAGAGCGACTTCGCCGGCCGCGGGAGGTGATGCCACTGGGTATTTTGTATGATTGGGCAAGAATAAACCGTCACTGAGATTTTGCTGGGTGTCGACGACCGGTTCTGGAAACGTTCCAAGGATTTTCTCGGAGCGTCCTTCTAGCAGGCCAACGTAGTGATAATTATATTTGGTCGCAAGTAGCATTTGTTAGCCAGCCGTCGCCTACCGAACTGTATTGTACGCTAACTCCAAGAGTGTTCGCTCCGACTCAAGAGCCAGGGGAGGCACGGATACTTTTCCTCTCCGTCAAATGCCTCCATTCACGGTAGCTTCTCGTTCCGCCAATTGTACGCATAGGTATTCACGAAGGAGCGTTCTTCGACTACAGTAGCTTGCAAGAAACGCTAAAACAGGTGTTGCGGGTCTTGTTTCCCCGCCGTAGCCTTCGACGACGACCAATTAATGACCCTGCTTTCGACCTCAGAACCGCCTCTCCTCTCGCCCGTTGCGCAAGGAACCGAAAAGAGAAAACTCACTTGGTCATCCGTATGGTCCACAGTTCCGAACCAAGACTCCTGGAACAGTTCGGTCTTGGTCTGGGACTGGTAACCTCCATCGCCGTTAGTGCCGGCGGTAGAGGTCTCGATGGTGAAGTCCCAGTACGGCAAAGTCAGCTTGGGGTTCACCGTCTGTAGGCTGGCCTCAAAAGTGTTTGTTAAGACGATGTGGTTGGTCAAGAAGCCTAGACCGTCGTGGAACTGTTGAAGGGGCAAAGACGCCACAGGGGGGGAGGGCAAACCAGCACCATAAGATCGTTCGTTTCTGCCATGAATTTATTTTTTGTCACTATCACATTGATACGTAGTTCGGACTGGTGCACGCTCGAAAGAAGCACCGGTGGGTTCGTGGGTAATACTTCAAGAAGAAGACAAAATTGCAAAACGAGGACGGACCACCCAACGTAAATACTACGTAGAATACGGACGGGTTTCGTGTTTCGTGTGGCGTTGTGGAGCCCATGTGTGGCCGCTTGCACGTAGGCCGGATGTATGGCGTGCTCTGCGCGTGTCGTGGCCTGTTCTGGTCAACAAACCTCAGCAGCGTGAGGACGACCGAACGAGCGCATCTATCTCCTGCAGTTGGTCTCTGCAGAAGTGCTGACCTTGCGTGCCTGGTTCACTACCGCCGTGGGCTCACAAGGAAAAAAAGAAAGAAACGAGAAAAGCTATGGACAGATTTTGAGGCTACGCCATCGCCGATGCTTCGGCAATACCATATGGTTCAGGAGATGTCTTTTATGAAGGTTACCTTTAAAGATGTTTTTGTACTTAGAACCAGCTGGTGTCACTCTGACATAATCATCAGCAGTGTATAGACGATTTTCCTCCACCCACTGGGAAGACTCCGACCACATCCCGTTCGAGTGGTATATCTCGAACGGGTAGAATTTATGGGTGTATCTTTTTTTTCCCTAAATGGTTCAGGGAAGGTTACCCGAAGTGAATGCAAACAAAGGATGGCACACTTACTGTATGCGTTACACACATGGGAGATTCGACATTTGAGGAAGCGGTGAGGAATGGATATTGTTGATCCATGGCCGGTCGTCCCGGTGATGGTCTAGTTGGTATCCTCGAAAATATCAGGTCAGGGGTTCGCATCCCGGCGTACGCGAGCTTTTCTTACAAAGTGAGTTTTTCTCTCGCTTTCGCTCCTGGCCTGGTGGATAGCGCTACATTAGTTCGTGTGTACACGAGGGAAAGAGAGTGCTGGACTCTCTCGCATTAAAAATCGAAGGCAACGTGCCACAGGAGGGAGGGTAGAGAGGGGCTCTTCCGTGTGATCACGGGTTTGAGTGAACGGCACTAGTGCTGTGAGCGCTGATTTGAAGTGAAGACAAAAAAATTATAAAGGTGCTCCATCTCCATCAAGGATGCGAGAGATGGCACCGGCGCGATCTCATAAAATTTGAATGCTATTTTCTCGACACCCCGGTGCCATCTCCCCAACCGGTTTGATGTCTAAACAAAAGCACACAACACACAGCGGCCTTGTTGGTGCTGCGGTGGTGCTGAATACGGGCACCCTGGTGCCATCCATGTCTCGCACTTTTATGGTGTACTTTAACACCATCACCTAGTCTACAGCAGTAGGATACCGGAGATACAAAAAAAAAAAAAGTAGTGTTGCCCCAATTATGCGCTACAAAGTCAAGAGAGGTTGTAAACATCTCGTGGAGGCGTGTCGTGCATGCCAACGACAACTCACGTGGTCGCACTCGTAAGGGCTCGCTGCCTTGTAGTGCAGGCGGTTGATAGCGAAAATGTCCGCGTAATCATCTCCGTAGAGCTCCTTCCCGTTGCCGCCGTCCACTCTCACCGACCAAAGCGTGAACATCTGCGTTTGTACGAGAACGTGGTTGGTGAAAGAAATGGGTGCAGATGACACACGGGGGGGGGTCTTATTTAAAAACGAGGGCAAGTTCGCCACAGCAGCAGCGGTACTATCGATTCAACATCACAACGTACGAACGTATGAATAGCGCCAGGCGGCACGCTTTCACTTCGGCACACGTTATACGCACAGGGGATCATGAGGGTTTGAAAAAGACACTGCTGAACGCCAGAACCAGTTTATCCACCCACGTCACCAAGTTTTTACAGCAGAAATAAGCATACCGCGGCGATGAGCGCCTCTGCATTCAACAATCCGTGCAATCTGCCTCCGCACGAGCATGATGGCCTGCTGTGAACAGGGACGCGTAAATCAAACCAATTTATTGGGGAGAAGAGCAGCAGCGATGCGCATCTGTATCTGGACATGAAAAAGCAATCGAAAAACGAAATGGTGTAGATAACATCACTCTCTCACCGCGTCAAACAGCTCCTCTCGCTCCTCGTCAGTAAGATTCCTGATCTCCCTCCTCACGTACTTGACCATCACCATCTCCTGCAGCCGCCGAACGACCGTCCCATCCGTGTCTACCTCCTCGAGGACGACGTGGTTCTCATCGAGCGTGGTCAGGACGACGATAACCTCCTCCCCTGCCGCCTCGGCGCACAGCTCTCCCTCCGCCGCGCTTCCGGCGAACACTCGCCAGCGGTAGTCGTACGCGTCGCGAGGTTTTTTTACGGTAAGCGTCGTCTCGCGGTGGGGCTCGATGAGCTTGACGTCCTTGAGCCACGGGTAGTCCTGCGCCGGCTTTCCATCACGCAGGTGGTAGAAGTTGGTCGCCTCGAAGGATAATTGCGGGATAATAACTTCTCCGGGGAGCTGCCCGTCCTCTGCAGTAGGTGTCTCGTCCTCTGCACGAGGAGATACGTCGGCTATCGGAGACGGTCGAGCCACGTGTTGCTTCTCGTCGTCCTCCACCGCAAGGTGTTCGCTGATCTTGACCTCATCAGCACGGATCAGACTCGGAGCCTGGCCTTGGCTGCCGATGTCTGTGGTTGTTCTCGTGACCTTGGGCAACCGGTATCCCGCGTGAGTGAGGGCCATCATGACTCCCACGGCTAGCACCCCGACGACCACAAGGGTGAACCATCGCTTCCCTGCCCCTTGGTCGTCCGCGCTCTCGCCACGCAAAGCGCGCGACGGATCAAAGTCGAAAGAAACTCTTTCGGCGGCACCGGCATCATCATCTCCGGCAGTTGGCGTAGGAGAGACGGCGCGCCGCGACTTGGTCGGGTCTTCCACGGACCCATACTTCCGCCGAGCAGACTGGGGTGACATGTTGGTACTGCTCTCTCTCCCTCTCTCGGAGCTCAGTGGGACGTGTGACAGTGGGAATGTGTGACAGTTGGGCAGTGAATCCCACGTGACTCCGTGACACTGGATTCACATACCACAGGAACAGTACCCCAAACAAAGGTGCCGTGACCGCCCCCCTCAGGTCTGCGAACCAGAGACCAGCCGCCGTTGTATGCATATGTTGTTGTATATAGACGGACAGAATAATGAGAAGGTGGATGGGATGGCACGCCGTTGTCGCGGCTGTGGTACGCATGACGAGTTTTGGAGAACGTGATGATGATTTGTCATGGATCAAGATCGAATAATCATCGTTCACGGACGCCAACAACAGATCATCGAGGTGGCCCAGGGCCACGGCGACGTCCTCATCTTTGATCATGTATCTATGTGAACGCTCACAACAACACGACATCGCTTGCAACACAATTTTCCCCGCTTGTCGGATGAATTTTTTGTCGAGTGCCGCATTTGGAATACGGGGTACAAAGGTGTGTTGTATGCGATGTGCTGTGCGCACCAATGTGCTTCGTCGTGGGTCCTATGGATATTGCACCAGGCGCATATCTTTACCCATTGTCCCGGTTCCCGGTTTACCCGCAACCAGGCGGAGAGAGACTGTGAGGTTCTCGGCCAATCAAAATACTCAGATGTGTTTTTGGAGTTTTGTTCTTGGTCCTCGTGGTTTGTTTGTTTCGTTTGGTTGTGGTTGCCAATATTAACACGATTAGCCTCTATTTTCGCGCCTCTCCACCCCCCACCCCCCCACATGTACCGAACTGGGCAAGCTCTACCAGCGGTCGAATAAATGTCGTTACTGCGTTACTTGGTCTCTGTGTGATGCAAACGTGAACACAATTGTACGCGCATATAATGCTGTCTGCAGTGTGCCTTGCATAAGTAAGGAAAAATCCTTGAAAAATCCTCCGTTTTTTTTTTGTTGTGCATCACGCAATGCCCCTCCCTATCCATCACGCTTTCTTCACACCAGGCCTCGGCCCGCAGTGCTCACTCCGGTGTTGCACAACACGCACGACCCAGCCGCATCCACAGCGAGCGGAAGACGAGGGCAAGCAAGAGAGAGAAGGACAAAGAGAAAGGCCAGAGCATCCACCCCATTGATCCGACTGGGCACTCAGCTGGGACAGAGCGGGTCCTTTCTTTTTGTTTACCGTCATGTCCTTCCAATCTTCACCGACGCTGCCGAGGAGGAAGTACGGATCGGTCGAGCAAGACGATGTCGCGAAGGCAACGCCAGTGTTGTCCTTCGACCACCTTCGGGAAAATGGGACGGAGAGAAGAGAGCAACCCAGCGGAAGGAGATGGCTTAGCTTTGCTGTTGTGGGCACGCTCGCCGTGGGCGTGATGGTAGCCTTGGCTCAGGCGGGGTATCACCTTCCTTCGGCGACAACAACGTTGGAGACAGCACGGACGGAGTCGATGATCGAGGCATCCGGGATCGCGCGGAGCAGCGGCAGCGGCAGCGTGAAGGCCAACGACACCCCCGCTGCTGTCAAAGTCCACCACTCCCGGCCAGGAGTCGCAACGGAGCTGGCCCCCCTCTCGTTCGAGGCGACAAACTTCTACCACATTCGTGACGGAAAGCCGGCGCTGGACTACCCGTGGCTCAAGGAGGTCAAGCTCATCGAGCCGCACCGCGAGACGACGTTTACGGTATCGTCCCCGCGGGACGGGTTCGAGTATCGCTGGACCGTGCGGGGCGCCGACGCCGACAAGGACGACTTGCGTGCCGAAGCGAGCGGTGCCGAGACCGTGATGATCCTCACTGTCCTCGATGACACCATCATTGATTTGGAGGAGGTAAACACGGAGACCGGCGTGGTCGCTAGAAGGCTGGAGGAGAAGGTGATGGTCAAGTACGTCCGCCGCGAGTTGCGAACCCTCACGGACGAGGAGCGAGAGGAGCTGTTTGACGCGGTGAGTGGGCGTGATGACAAGAACAAACCTTGCACAGCAGCAGGAGCAGTCAGACCCGGTAGCGCATAAGACACACCACAAAAATACCTCCAATTCTAGTTTTTCTCGTACCTGTATATTGTAGAAACGTCTTACCGCTGGACAAAATCATCGTTGCTGGGCCGCTTTCTAGCACGGATATATCTCGCCTTTCGGATTCTCCGCACCCCCGTTCCCCATGCTTTGGCCATTTTCGCCTGTCGCGACTCGCCCAGCGTTTGCCGGGCACTCTCTTTCCGTGTGAAAGACCCGCAGGTTGCATAAGATATCGCACCCCCTAGACGGTCGCGACTCGCCCAGCGTTTGCCGGGCAATTACTTTCCGTGTGAAAGACCCGTAGATGGTCGCGGCGATGGAACCGCCTCTTCGAGAGCTTTCCGAACACACATCCTTTGATTTCGGCATATCCTCTTCGTTGTGAAGTAATCGAGCTTTGAAAATCGGTCCTTGGGGTGTGATATCTTACGCACGCAACCTACGGTATGCATACGGGTGGAAGACGTACGGAGAGTGCATGTGGAATCGCGGAATGCTCGATCATGTACAGCTGCCCGCGATGTCACGTTGCCGCCTCGACGGGCAACCTACCTGTTCGTCCTAATAACGGCTTCCGTCGCAATTGTCGCTGTGGATCTCCACAACAGATGTACACGCTTTGGACGGTGAGAGTGAAAGGTGGCAACGGCAAAGAGCTGTACGGAGATGACTACGCAGACATCTACGCCATCAACCGTCTTCACTACAAGGCAGCGAGCCCGCAGGACTGCGATCACGTGAGTCTATTCTTAGAAAGCTTACCGTTGTTTACGTTTTTGTGTGTCCTCAAGATGTTGCCATCGACAGTAGTAGCGTGTAAGAGGGTGAACGCAGCTACCGTGAGCGTCGTCGGTGGGAATTGCTTTCTCCAGACTATTTGTTATGTTCTGTTATTGCCTGGCGTAACATATCCTTCACAAGAAGATACCCGTGCGTGCACATTTAGCAGATAATTCGAGAAGTACGTGTCGTTTTGTTGGCATCGGCAAAAAAGAAACAATAAGCGCGGCATGGACAGAGAAGTTCTGGATTAACCTTGGGACCGCGTGCTGTTCGGTGTGTTGTACGCGGAGATCGAGTGCGGTCTGCCCACGTACCTGTTGGCGCATGGCGGAACGCGGGGCGAACAAGATATATGTCCAAATTCGGCGGGTTTTCAAAGATCCAGGAAGACGGTCGCGCATGGCAAAACTTCCTCCCCCGTGTGTGTTCCCGCCCGAGGGACAACAAGATTAGCTGGCATCACCGATATAAATCATCAGTGTACATATGACTTGAAAAAGACTCGAAATTAGTCCAGTACTCGGCCGGTTTTTCCTTCACTCCCTGAAAAGACTCCACCTCCCGTTCGACTGTGGGTATACCTCGAATGGGTAGTCTTCCTGTGTTTGCATGTATATTCTTCAAGCTACAAGCTGAAAAGTCGGCGCGTTACGAAAAATCCAGCGAGACTGTCGCGCGTGGCGGAACATCCTCCCTCGTGTGTGTCCCCACCCGAGACTGCAGTGTCTTTGTGACCAGTCAGACGCAAGTCTCGATGTTTGGGTAGGTAGTGCCATTGGATGTTGCAGTTTCATTCCATCGAAGCATTCAAACACGATGTAGAAGAGACGAGCTCCTGTGTGACCTTACACCCGTACGATCGAACATGTGTTCTACAACCAGTAAACATCGCGATGAACATACACCCGCACTTGTTCGACTCGCCTCCTTTTGTTTCTTGCCGTCGAACCGAGGTTACCGCGTGGTGGGACATGAACCTATACACTCGTCAGCAGCTTGTGTGTAAACACGTGACCGTTCAAGATCAAATGTTTCGTCTCTCTTTTAAGTCATCGTCCCCAATCCGTTGCTTGTTACTTAATTTCTACTTCCTTGACCCTGTCTCCACGACAGTTCCACGATGGTCTCGGGTTTATGACGAACCACGCAGTCATCACCAACACCTTCGAGTACAGCCTTCAGAGGGTCAATCCCAAGCTGACCGTGCCGTACTGGGACTTCACCATCGACGGCTCTTCGGCCGGAGGGATTTTCGGGGAATCTGTTTCGTCGGCGGAGACTTACAGCAAAGTGTTCACGCCCGAATGGTTCGGGACGTACGATGAGGACGACAACATGGTAAGTGTTTGCGAGAGACAGCGGTTGCGGTTCCGTCGATCTAACTCGTTTGCTGCGGGCAGCGCCCGTACGAACTTCACTAACGCATAACCCGACCTGTGCATCGTAGTGCCCAACTTCGGCAACTGCGCGCAAGATTAGCACCATGTGTAGCCCTTGAGCACGCCTTCCAATTGACAAGGAAAATCCCCTTGCGACAAGCCCGTGGTTAGACATTCGCCAACGGTAGCGTTCGGTCACGGCGCGTACATACCCGACCGGAACGGCTGACCTCTAGAGGCCCTATTTTCGATACAGTCCATGCATAGTCGTTCCCCACAAGATTTGTCTCGCTGCAAGGGGAAGCAGGGCTTTGCTGGTGATGACCTCCGCGTACGATTTTTCCCGTCTTCATTCGTCCGTGATTTCAGTTGAAGGACAGCCGGTGGGCCTTCACCCCGATCCCCCGAATGGAAGTCAACAACCCCGGTGAACTCACCCCGGACGTCTACCTCAAGCTTCGCGCTCCGTGGAACGTCAACGATAGGGCGTAAGTACTGATTGATTGTGTACAACTCGGTGTAAGGGTAGGGTTGGCCCCACTGGGAGTTGCGTATGTGATATCATTTCACTATGCAGTTGCTCGGCCGCATCCAACTACGGTAGCCGCGTAACTTTGCAGCGGGTGGACCCTGTCGCTCGATATTTCACCATCGAGAGCTAATCTTTTTGACTATTCACCCCCTCCCCGTCCGGCCTTGCTAACGTTTGGCTGTCCAGTTACCTGACTCGGGGAATGGGCAACATGTGCGGCATCCCGACGAGCAACACCTACCCGTGGCCCACGTGCGAGACTCACTACGATCTCGCCACCTCCTACAAGGACTTCTACTCGTACGTGTGGGACAGCCTGTACGATCCCCACGGTCCTGTGCACATCTGGATCGGGGGTGTGCTGGACTGCGAGCAGACGTACACCACTATCCGCAATCTTGTCGGTGAAGAGGCCGCGGGAGAGCTCGCCATGTTCTCCTTCGTTCACCGCAAGAACTTGTACCGCGAGGGAATCTTCCAGTGCTCGGGAACCGCAGGTGTCGGTCAGAAGCCCGAAGAGGTGAGGTCCAAGAAAAGTTGACGAGTAGAGGTCCGCCTGCGCACGTGTTTTTTTTTCTTGTTAAGTATAGCACTACTACAGTGGGTGGCCCGATATAGTGCCGGTATCTGCAGAGAAAATGCACCGGCACTATTGAAAGTCCAGAACGACTTGATATTCCAGTGTTTGCAAGCCGAAAACACCGGCACTATACCGGCAACCGGCACTAAATCGGGCCACCCACTGTAGTCCATCCGTGTTCATGAATATGGGGCCCAGGATATAGATACGTGATGATTGCATAGCGTTTAGCGAAGCACACCTGTGTTGCTACCATCCTGTGTCGTGGAGTGGAGTGACTTTCTTTTGTTCTAGCGCGGTGTTTTTTGTGTTGGATGTGGTGAACATTCCTTGAAGCAGGCAGTACTATAACCGTGCATTCAACGGTCAAAATTGATGTTGTAATGTTTATTACCCTTCTCCGCTTTTCTGCTGCCTCCCACTCAGATTTTGTCCACCGGGCAGTGCGGCTGCCTTGGATACGATCTCACCCAGGGAACCGACTACCAGGACATCTTCGACCGCCTGACCATGGCGGATTCCATCATCGGGGACGTAGATGACGAGGTCAAGAGGGAAGTGACTTCGATCATTTGCGGTACCCCCGCGAATGACGGCGATCACTTGCAGGTGCGTGAAGAAAGGTGCTGTGTGTCTGTCGGCTTTGTCGGCATGTCCGAGGGCACCTTTGAAAGCTGTTTTTGTTTGTAGCCGCTGTGCCTGCTCTCTGTTGAAAAAAGATCGTGTTTGCCAATGCACGATTCATTTGACACTTTGTCGGCCATGCACCCTACGCACGCGCGATCACTGTTTTCTTGAAAACGATCCAGCTTCTGTAAGCACGCTCGGTCTCGTCTGGCGGTTTTTCGTTTATCGTCCACCGTGTGCCGTTAGCTCACAATTGTACCCCACGCCACCCCGATTGGCTTTCAGGCTAGCTCGTCCCTGGACCCGTCATTCTGGCCGACGCACCCAACCATGGAGCGGCTGTGGATGTACAGCATCCTGACGGGGCACATCACGGATTTCACCTGGCCGGACGGCGACGTCACCGTCACCAAGCCCGACGGCACTGTGGAGGTTGAGTCGATCAGCCTTTACGGCGACACCTGCACGGGACACCGCGGCAGCGNAGCATCCTGACGGGGCACATCACGGATTTCACCTGGCCGGACGGCGACGTCACCGTCACCAAGCCCGACGGCACTGTGGAGGTTGAGTCGATCAGCCTTTACGGCGACACCTGCACGGGACACCGCGGCAGCGACGTGTTCCCCTTCGGCCTCCTGGACTCCGACACGGACGACTTCACCATCAAGACCGGTATCCGCGGCAACCCGGACACCGGCAACCAGCTCACCAACCGCGAGGTCCTCCAGGCGTTCGACGCCCGTTCCAACTCCCTTCCCTACGTGTACGACACCTTCAAGTGGACGCACTGCGAGGCGGACGGGGTCAACTTCGACGACGCCTGGGAAAACGCCAAGGCGAGAGGCCCGTCGTCGATTAAGAGTCGCCCGGCATTCAAGGAGGGTGAAGTCCGAAGGCCGCGCTACAGCGGCTACGACGAGATTATGGCGAATGCACTGGCCAGGAGGGCCAAGGCTGAGGGTCAGGCCGCCGCGCCCTGATTCGCGTCGAATCGGCGCTCGCGAGTAAACTGGCTGGTAGCTAGAGAACCCACTCGACAGGAAACACGTTTTTTTTTTTTCTTTCTGCTATTTTGTGCGCCCGTTCTCGTTTGTCATCTGGATAGGTCGGTGAATGGGGTATCCCGGGTGCATTGCTTTCCACGGCGAAAGTGTCTCCTGCGGTGCGAGCTTGGGCCAGTAGGATGGCTGTTCAAACTCTTATATAAGTGATTTTGTGGTGTCGGAGATCGGTTTTGTTGTGGCGCCTCGTTGCTATAGACGGTTGTGTACTTTCTCCGATGCAATGATGCACTTCGACGTTGTCCTTGTCTTCAGCGCTGTTCCTTGGTGGTTAAAGGAATTGGTGCGTGTTCTCTCCCGCCCTCGCCGAGCTAGGATGCGGGATATAGTTCAGGGTTGTCTGGTTTGTTCTACACGTGAGTGACATTCTCAAGTCTTGGTAGGTCAAACTATCTGTAGTGTGTCGTATCGTATGTACATCTCGCTTCCCAAGGTCGGCAGCGACTGTTATGCTGCAATTACGCTTGATCGTTGTCTTGGTGCGAGAGCGTGCCTCGCCCGCATCGTGGCTCCTTGTGGTTGACGAAGACGCTCATTTTTCTTGTCATTTTGGTGTATGGGTGGTGCTTGCTGTCCGTGTCGGCACATGAAGGGCTATAGTCAATGCCAGAAGGTGGGGTCTTCAGGAGGGTGTTGTGTGTCTCATCTGTGATGTTGCATGTGTTGATTTTAACGACGAAAAAGCCGTGTCCCGACCTCGTCAGCCCGTGCAATGGAGAAGGACTCGAGCTGCAGCCAGCCGTCCTCTTGTTTTGGTGTATTGTTACCTGTGGAGGATGCATACACTCGACGAAGTCACCACGGGTGCCGCAGCCCTGCGCAACTGGGGGTGCTGGTGTCTGTGAAAAGTCAACTGCGGTTCAAATATGCATACATCAATCAATCGTAATTTTGGAGATGGAAGAGCGTGTTCGTGCACACGGATAAGTACGTCGTGGCACACGGGTGGGGCCCCGTGACTGCTACACCCCACCCGCCGAACCTACAAAAACACGGTAGTAGCGACGTTCACGTGTGTTGGGGCAGTATTTTTGCGCGTGAGTTGTAGACACCGAGCAATGTTAGCAAAACATGGACTTGCATATCCCAAGATCATTGGTTTTCTGCCTACAAAAAAAACGTTCATCGGTGGCGCCACAAAGAGACGCTCGGTTGTAGGCCTGGGCAAAGCCCGGAAGGTCCTCTGGAAGCCGTTGGTGGCTTGAGCATGATGATGCTCCAACGACTGATTTGATCATCCTGCCGTGGACCACAAACAAGCATGAACGAAGGACGCTGGCGTCCGGATTCATTTTCTATCAGAGCGGGTACCGCTACCACCACTCTCTAATACGAGGTATAAGTCTACGTGTCGGGTTGGTTCAGAAAGACAGGATTCAGAGGACATGTCGCGATAAAAGGCGCCACGTGCAGCCGACGTGCTGCTTCGTGTGGGTGAGATGATCTACTAACTGCGATGCACCACTGTATTACTACTGCATACAGTAGTTCATCCTGTGTGGTCGTCCTTCATCGAAAAAGGCAGTGAAGAGCTAATATCCTTACCGCCCAAAAAAGAGTACTACTGCTGTAGTGCTACTCTACTGTTGCTGTACGGACCTTGTCCAACCGCCCCCCAACACCCAACATAAACCTACACGAACGAACGTATTTTCATTGGTCAGCCGGGTAGTGCGGTCGATGCTAATAATAAAAACACACGTGGTTGGGATCTCTGCGACAATGATGGTAATAATGAAGGTATTCTTTTGGGAGTGACAGGGACGAAGGAAAGGGAAAGGGAAGAAAGGAGGACCAAGACGACGATGGAGGAGGAAAGGATGGAGAAGTGGAAGAGAGCAAAAGGGTCTGAGGCGGGTTCCGAGCTAAAGACGAATCACCTTTCCCACCTCGGAGAAGAAAAAAAAAAAA